CTGGTCTAGATTTCTCTACGCCGAGCTTAGCTGGTCTCCTGCAAAGGTGGACGAGTTATTATTACCCGTTATCCAGAGAATTCGCAAGCGCGGACAGGTAGATGGATCTCATCTTATCACGAAATATGGCTCACACTTGTAGGCTGGTGCAGTTAACAGGCAAGCAGACTTGGATGGCTTCTTCGATGGCGCTGGCGCTGGGAGTGCTGTCCCGCGGAAACGCAACGCTTATTCTAGCAAGCGCCTGCAACAAGTGGTCTCTGAATTCCGCAACAAACGGAAACATGATTCCAAGTCCCCTGCGGCGGACGCGCAAAGTCAGAATTCGCACTCCGATGACGACAATGCCCCTGTTAAAAAGAAGAAGAAGGCTGCGAAGGCCAAGGGTGGGACGGCCACAAAACGCGGCACTGCTGCCCGGGGCCGCGGAGCGAACAAGGGAACGAGGGCGGTTCCGGATGACGAAGCAGATTTTCGAGAGGCAGGAGTGGACACAAATCTTGATTCACGGCCTGCAGTGCGACTCCGGCCTAGACCGAAGCCAGCGTATAAGGGTGTAAGTACGGGTGCTGCGGGACACTCGGTGGGCTAGAGAACCTAAGCTGTATAATGTTCGACCACAATTGTTCTGCCTTTTACAACCGATCCACTTTGCGCATGCAATTTATGAAACTAGTATAACAGCAGCCTGAATGGCGCAGATGGAAGCACGCGGGGCCAAGGACAGCCACTGGCACCGCCATCTATCCTGGCTTTCCGGTTTTTTTTTGTCTTCGCGCATCTGATTCTCCTTGTTGCTGCCAGTTGCTGCCTCCTGCTTGAGCAAGTTGAAAGCAACGCTTGCTTCATCATGTTTCCACAAAGAACCCTCGAGTTAGTTTCCAGCTGGGCGCTACAAGGCCCATTGCTACACAGGCGCATCTGACCGTTATTATAAGTGAGCCAATTCAGAGCATAAGGGAGATCGGGTGGGCGCACGAGAGATGGTATAAAGGATATTGATGACTATCAGTCTGCGGTCTGTGACCGCTCGTAAAGGAGAGAGGAAATAAATGGATAAATAATAGGTGAGGTTTGCGGGTGGGAGGGCCGCTACGCGGCCGATTCGGGAAGCCGCAAACACGCCGGCAAGGGGTGGGGCAACGAATCGGGATGGAACGCGAAGGGGCCACACCCAGTACGCAATGAGGTGCTCGGCCTGATGAGGCGAGAGGGGTGATCGGCGGGGTTGAGGTGCGTATCAACATATATCAACTTCGGCACGATCATCCGATCGGCCGCTAATGCATATGCCCGACGCGCGCAAAGATTGAGGTGCACGTTGGGACTGCGGGACTTGGTAAGTGCCCCAATAGCCGCCTTGTTATCTGAATGCACCAGTAGATGTATGTCGCGATAGTTGAGCTGCGCAAGGAAGTGGTACAAGAGTTCGATAGCAATAGCTTCCAGCCAGCAGATGTTGCGCCCGGGCTGCTGCCAGCCGGGACGGAGGCGGAATGAATACCATCGGCTGCCGATAACGATACCAATTCCCCACGAGGTCGATGCGTCGACATATATGCCGTGGTCGCGTAGAGGTCCGATGGGGTTCAGCTGCCGGTATGCATCCTCATCCTCGAGGCGATGCTTCCACCACTGTAATGTGTCCACCGCCGAGTTGGATAGGTGTCGAGGTGCGTAGTTGTTGTGCTTGCTGTAATGCGCCATCGCGTTCGAAAACACGGCGAGCCTCGTGGTCCCATCCCTGAAGATGAAGGCGACATGGCACAAGGTGCCGTGAATCTCCTCCAGGTCACGAAGGACGAAGAAACGCGACGCGCGCGCATTGTCGATCATCTTGGAGACCCGCGCGAGGTATTTGAGACGTTTCGGCCGATGCAGCGACACCCGACGCAGCACCAAATCCCACTGGAATCCGAGGAATATCATCGTGTTTTCATAGGTCCTGCCGGATTTGGTCGGGTGCCATGGGGTGTCGAGCGGGGCGATCAGAGCGAAGGCGGTGTCGCGGTCGAGTCGGTACAGGTGGGGGCCGTCGCGGAAAGGACCGACACCATTTGGGAAACGGACGTTGGCCAGGTCATCCTCGTAACCCAGGGTGTCCGCGTCACCTGGGGTCTCGGCCCTCCAAATATCAATCAGAGCTCGACAAATCTGCCCGGCGTTGCTGCTGGCTGAGGCGGAGCCGAAGGGATAACAATGATCGAGGAAAAAATCGTCACCGAGGGAGACGACCAAGAACGGCTTGTGGTCGGGAAGTACAGGGCATGTCCGGTGAAAGGCCTTGATGTCGAAGGCACATGCCTGCGTGCCCGGAGGCGATTTTGACACCTGTTTTTGGTGTAAGGACCACGAGTACGGATGCGAATGCGATGCCATGCGATGCGATGCAAATGCGATGCGAATGCGATACCATGCGATGCGAATGCGATGCGATGCGGATGTGTATTATGCAAGTGCAGTGATGCAGGTGCTAATGCGAAATGCGATGCGATGCGAATGCAGATGCGAAAACAGGTCCGACATGCGGGCACCAATACGATGTGCAGGGTGTCCACAAAAGCCGAACACAATATAGGGTCCGGGACTCACCAAGTTGGCCACATCAAGTGCTGCGTCGAATTTCGTCGGAAAATCGGCCTTGTCGATGAACGAGTTGATCGACGGTGTGCCCGACACTTTATCATTCTTCGAGAGGTGGCGGCAGACACGCTTCTTTGGCTCTGCACCCGGTTCCTGCTCCTGCAGCACGACGATCATCGGCGACGAGTAAAACGGGCCGCGGCATATCTCTTCCATCTCCGAGCGCGTGAAAGGGCCAGACATGCGGCCCATCGACTTCTCGAGCTCCAGATACTCTTGTACCACGTCCAAATGCACGGCGACAGATGGGTGATTTTGGATGATGACGGTGTGCTCCAATGGAGGTATACGACCAAGAGGAAAGCCTTCAGATAAATTTTGAATCAGCTGCGGATAGCGTGTAAGTAAATCATGCTTGTTTAAGAGGCGCCTGAACTCGGAGATGTTGTACGGGTGAATGATTCGGTTAAATAGCTCATCTTGTAGCGTGTTAGTTGTGTCGGGCGGTGGGCGACGGTGGACGAATGGTCGGAGATCTGGGTACAAGAGATGTGTCGATCCGCCTAGATTATGTGCTTCAAGAGATGTGTTGGTCTCGTCTTGGTCAGAGGACGAGGGCGCCATTACGAAACCGAGGGCATCGTGTGTTGCCGGGCAGAGCGGGGTGGCTTCCACCGCAGAGGCTGCATATGTGGAGACGCTCGGCAGGGTGGTCGGATCCATCACATGGCCGTCCACCGAGATTGCAGTTGTATCCGATGCAGATGACTCTGCGATCAGGTCCCCCGTGCGGCTTTGCAGTTTTGAGGCAGCCGTCCTCATACGTGGCGAAACATTGTTGGCGGTCCTGGAAAGCGACCTGACCGGTGGGATGGTTCTTGAGCGTATGGGGACCTGCGCAAACGAGGCAGTGAACGGGGCGACGCTCGCGAAAGGAATCCTGTCCTTGGTCGCGAAAACGGTCGCGTCCAGCCCATCCGTTATCACTCTCCCGGTCCCCTCGGCGCGGTGTGTCACGATACGAGCGCTGATCATCGCGGTACGAACGCTGGTCGTCGCGGTACGGGCGCTGATCCTCGTCACGCATGCGTTGGCTCTTGGGGGCACTTGGAGTGTATGCAGGAGGGCCTGAAAAGTGCCCGATATCAGCCATCTTCGTAAGGGGAAGGGAGTAATAGCCGCTTGAGAAAGCGCGTGCAGCCTTCCAGGCATTGATTGCACCGCCTGCTTCCGAGGTCCAGTAAACGACGTCGAACGCGAGGTTATTGGTGAGGATTTTGTTACGAAGCCTTTTCTCGACCGGGTACCAAACCATAAACAGTGCCTCAAAATCTTCCAACGCCTGGAAGAAATCGCGATGCTTCAACATCTCGACCGCGAAAGAGAAAGGGTTGTCGTTGTCAGGTGCCGCGCTCAAGATCTTGATCGCCGCGATAAAGTTTTCGAGCGCGTTGTTCCAGGTGAGTACGGAGACGTTCGCCGCCGAGTCGTCAGAGCCCCACAAAGATTTTAGCTTAGCGCAGTCCAGCAGGCTCTTGTCGGGCACCGTCAGGATCGACGTGTTCTTCTTCGTGGGTATTTCGGACGGGTTCTCGATAGCGTATCGTAGGCGTTGGTCTGTGAACCAGAAGAGCGAAGGATGCATCCGATGTTTGATCGCTGCTAGAAAAAGGTCGGGGATGGACACGGGAGGGCGGGTCAACGCATTGATCTGGGCAACGTTCGACATCACCATGCTGCCCGTCAGGTCCGTGCCCTTGGCCTTCTGTTCCTCCTTCTTCTTCTCCGCCTCCTTCTCTCTCTTCCCGCGCTCTTCGAGCAAAAACTCGAGTAACTTGGGCGGAACTGGCGCGACGACGCGCTCACAAAACTCCACAGAGGTAACCATCTTCTCTACTTCGATTTCTGTGTACTCGTAGTAAGAGGTGAGCTTTGGACCAATGTCGACTGTTATCGGTGGGACGGCTCCGGAGTTCAGCATCGTTTCGTAGGCTCTTGTCGCGCGAATGCTTGCGCGATTAGCGATTTGCACGTCACTGTTGTGCTGGTTCCTTTCTTGCAAGTCCATATCGTCAGGAATGGGGAGATCCTTTGGTTGTTTTCTCCAGATGGCGAAATCGAAGGTCGCGTCGAGGGGAAGGTCCTTGCCGCATACTGATCTTGTGGGAGGCATTTAGCTCGAAAATGTCTTGCGGATGAGGGTTGCGGAGACGAGGGCGAAGATGCAGGAGAGACGCGATGGACGCGTCAAGGAGGAAATATGATCACGTGTATGTATTCATGTGTGCTCGTACCCAAACTCCCTTATCTTACACTAAGTCGACTCGTGCCTCGTCTGCCTTAGCTCACACTTACCTCATTTCGAGTCATTTGAATCTACATATGATATTATAAAGCTATTTTGAAGGTCTGACAACAGCAGCATGGCGCAGATGGAAGCGCGCGGGGCCCATAGGATCAGCTGATTCAGTGACCCCGAGGTCACTCGATCGAAACGAGTTGCTGCTATAAAAATTCAGAGTTCGTCTTTGCTCTGAATGTTTTTTCTCATCCTTTCCATACGTGTTAGGCAGTGCACCCCCAAATAAAGGGCTGAAAATGCATAGCTAAACATCTCTGTATCAGGCAAGAGCACATGTAAAATCCATGGGTCCTGCGAGGTCCACCCATACCCATACCTGCATTCTATGACAATGCCTGAGGCTCGGTCCTTCGCACCCTAGGGGATTGATTTATGGAGGATATTGAACACAAAAAAAGATCTATGGGAAGCCATGGTCCAGGAACTATTCGCGGACAAAGGATTGTCAACCGATGGAACCATCTTGGACAGCCGGGCCAATATCGAACAGGCTGTGGAACATATCCCGGAAATGTTACTGGCCAATATTGCTACAGTCGACATCTAGTGATAACAGACATGCATGGAAACTATGAGGCTGGAAGAAGGGGCGAAGAGGTGGGCGAACAGAATGATAGGCCGCAACTCCTAAGGTGATCCAACTCGCCAGTGTGCTCATCTTGGACCCACGCTCCAGTCGTCGGGGTGGTAGTTGCGCCTCGCCGCATCAGCGATCTGCCGGTGGGAGTGATTTGCGCCGTCGATGACGTTCAAAGTGCCCAAGGAGCTGTGAAAAGCGCACGAGATGTCATTCCGGCGAGCGCAATGTGTCCGCCACCCCACAGTGGTTGCATTGTCGGTTGGATGTTGAGTTGTTTGAAGCGCCAGTTGATTTGGGCCAACGATTACCGAGTCTCCGGGCTGACGGTCGAGTGTCGAAGAAACAGGACAGCACACCGGCGACCGGGGAGAGCGCAACGTCGTTCGGGCGCGAGACGCGCTGGCCAGCTTTCCCCAGTTGCCGGATTTTCGGTCGAGTCCAGACAGTCGGGATGCGCGAATGAGGTCGGAAGTCGGAAATAGTCCTAGCACAGCACATCGGCGACTGTGAGGGGCGAGCAAACGTCGTTCCGAGCGGGAGGTTCTTGCTGACGCGCGGCACGGACGTAGGGTTCGCCCCTAGCCGCCGGCGCGCTCTCCACGTCGATAGCCGCGTCCGCCCGCCCCACAGAGTCGCCGGATTGTCGGTCGAGACCCGCGAATAGAGGTTGAAAGTCGAAAGGAAAGAGCACAGCACAGCACAGCGGCGACTGTGAGGGGCGAGCAAACGTCGTTCCGACGGGAGGTTCTTGCTGACGCGCGGCACGGACGTAGGGTTCGCCACTAGCCGCCGGCGCGCTCTCCACAGTCGATAGCCGCGTCCGCCCGCCCCCCACAGTCGCCCGGTCGTCGGTCAGTGAGTTGTTCACGTCGAAGGCGAGGACACACGCTCTGGGCTGGAACGTGAATGGACGCGACGGACTGGGCTGGGGCTCACCGGGCGGAAGATGGTGGTGGTCAATGAGAGAGAGTGCTGGGTGGCTGACAGGAAGCGAGACGGTTAGATATAAGCAAGGTGGCTGACCGTGACCGTGTTTGGCACGATCGCTTAGGATCGCTTCCGATCGTGTGCCGCTAAATCAATGCACTGATGTGCGCGACGATGGATTGTGGAATAATGCTATTGATGCAGGGCCAAAGACAAGTGGAAAGCAGTAAATAAAGGGAAGCAGCGGTGTTATTCCTCGTCCGAGTCTGGGTTGCTCCGGAGCTCGGACAGGAATGCGCCGTCGAAAGGACCTTGCATCGGGAAAGTTAGCGTGGGTATGCTAGATGATGCGCGGCGGGGCGACTTACGGGCGATGTAGTCGCCCCCATGCTTTCCTAGATACGTGGAAAGGATGGGGCTGGGCGTGTGGATGTTGCTGGAGGTGGAGGACATGAACGTGCTCGTGGAGGACGACGGGGGTATCGAGTAATGCATCACTCTCGAGGGCGTCGAGATGGGGGAGGAGGGGTACGTGGAGGTCGAGGATTGTAGTACGGAGCCAGAGGCACCGAACGAGAAAGACTTTTGCGGTTGCGGACTCGACTGCAGACAATTGAGTCAAGGTTCATTATGAGGCGGGGCGCGTACGTTTGGGGAGAGCCGCAGCGACCGCTGAGGGGTGGGCGGCGCCATGTGTATGCCCTTGGGCTTTGAAGGCGAGGGCGAGGGCGGCAGCGGCGCGCGCGGATAGTTCACGGCGTACACCGCTTGCAGGATGTTGAGGGACAGCAATGCCACCGCAGCGACCTCTGTGGCAGGGTGAGCAGCGCGGATGCGCGCAAGTGCAATGTGGACTTGCCTAGCATGCAGAACGACGCGTAGATCCAGTCGGAGGTCCACCATCGGTGGCGCCTGCCCGAGAGCGCGACTGCGAGAGCAGTGGGCAGCGCGGGTATCCGCGGGACGAGGGTGGAGAGGACGGCGATGAGGAGGACGGCAAAGGCATTGGAGCGGATGCGGAAGAGGGCCTCTGTGCGGTGTGGTTTGAAGTAGTCGGCGAGGCTTTGCATGTTGAGGTCGTGTTTAGTCTTGACGCGTGAGGTTGGCTTTGTTTGCGCGCGTCTCTCCGAGTCTTCCCTCTTGCCTCCGACTTCAATTGACGAGAGTCAGCCACTGTTCTACCAGTAACCAGTTTTGCACTTTCGACCGTTCCCGTTCCATTGTTTCCCAAGGCAACCAGACCCACACCCACGGATGCTGCTGAGTCGGCGAATGAAACGTCGGTCAGACTCATAATCACACTCACGAAGAAACGATGTGCACGGACGATCCGTCTCAAGCTACTTATCCGCCGACGCCTCTGAGTACGGCGTGATGATTAGTTTTGACTCGCGTCCGACGGTTGGAGCGGGAGTTTGATGTTCGAAAGGCCGTCCATGGCTCCGTGGCATCAGCACTGTGGCAACGCCATTGAATTGACCCTTGTCGATTCAAGTCAGTTTTCGGCGCTGCTGTCCCGTTTTTGCGCCTGGAATATTATTTCTCTGTCTCTGTCCCTTGCATGTATGATATGTTAATTCTCTGACCAAGAGCTACTGCGCAGTCGTCGAGGAATAATAATTGACGCACTCCTCGCCAAGTGGTCCAAGCAGATGCACTCTTGCTTCGATCATATGTCTGGATTGATTGGAACCTACGTAGTCGTACATAAGGGCATTTGGGGCCGATTTGTGGTTGTTAGTTTTGCCTCTTGCTCTCCCCTCTCCTTCTCCTCTCCACGACCTCAACGACCCTAGAGTCACCTTCCACTCGTTTTCCGCAATGATCTCTTGGAAAGCACTCCAGGCCTTCTTGGTCCTCACCCTCATGGCTGGTCAGACTGTTGCCAGCCACAACCAAGCCCGCCACGCCCATGCCAAGCACGCCGTCGCCCACGCCGCCGCCCCTGTGAAGCGTGCTGCCCGCAGAGGATCCTGCAAGGCCTCCTTGTCCCTCTCCGCGTCGAGCTCCAGCTCCACCCCTACTACTACCTCGACCACCGATTCTACACCTACGACCTCTTCCGAGAAGGCTGCTTCGACCCCCAAATCTGGCGGCTCGGGTGGTAACAACGGCGGCAATAACGGCGGAAACAACGGCGGCTCAGACGGCAACAGCGGCGGCGGGAAACCCATTAACAGCGTCAAGGCCGCCGACGGATTCACCCCCAATGGCAAGAAGGCCGGCACCTCCTCCGGGAACTTCTACTCGAACCTGCAGCCTCACATCGGTTGGTGGTATGACTGGTAAGCCCTGCATCGCACATCCTTGTTCCAGGATCTCAAGCGCGGTTCAGGACGCCCACTCCGGCATGGAAGAGCGACGCGATCCCCGTCCCCATGCTTTGGGGTGGTGGATCCGCCGACGGCACCGATTCATCGCGTCTGGCTACCTTCAAAAAGATCACCAACGCCCCCCAGTACATGCTCGGGTTCGAGGAGCCGGATTGCGCGGCTGGCGGTGGATCCGCGGGCATGTCTGTATCGGACGGCGTGAAGATTTGGGAACAGTATATCGCTCCCTTCAAGTCGAAGGGCACTAAGCTCGGCAGCCCTTCCATGTGCAGTGCGTCCTCTTCCCTCGGTAACTAGTCCGCGGTGTTTCTCACCCGTGTATCACAGAGCAAGCCGCGGAGACTTGGCTCAAGCAGTTCACTGAGCAAATCAAGACCGATTACGACTTCACCGCCATCCACGTCAACAAGAACAACATGGCTGGCGTCAGGGCTGATCTTGTACGTTCCTACTTGTCGATATTGAACTACTCGCCAAATCCGGTGCTCCAGGACCATTACGCTCAGTACGGCAAGCCTATCTGGGTTACCGAGTTCGCGTGTGTGGACGGTGAGCGGACCCATTACCTGACCTCACTTCCGAACTCACCACTCTGCAGACCAGAACGGTTTCACCCCTTGCACCAACCAGGGCCAGATCAACAGCTTCATTAATGACATCGTAGACCTCTTCGAGTCCGACGGCCGTGTCGCTGCCTACGCATACAGGTAATATTCAGGTCCACAGCCCCTCTCTGTACTGACAGGCACGCCTTCAGCAACGGCGTGGGGCTCGGAAACGTGTGGCCCATGTCCAACGGCAATGGTGACCTCAGGTGTGTACCTCCTCGTGATCGCCGTGCCTGTTCCGTCCTGACGCGCTCCTAGCGCCTCGGGCAAGGCCTACATCGCCGCCATCTCGAAGTACCACTAAGTTATGACCCGCGCCACCTGGTTGACGAGTCCCGGGGGCTCGTCGTGGCCCTCGGACTACGCATACCACATACACACTGACGCTCTGACTATACCCCGCTAGTTGTTGATCTACTTACATCTGTTGTTACCCCTGTGCAGCCCTGGGGCGGCCGTTTTTTCTTTCCTGTTTACCTCTGTACATGGATGCGCCAGAGTAGATAGACGGTTTGCTTGAAGGCATGTAAGCCTGTTTGATTGAAACCCCCCGCCTTTCCCTATTAGTCGTGATCGGGTCGGCAGATCGACGACTCTAGCCTGATTGAGATGTCAAAGCGAGATATCTCGCCCCTATGACATCGCCTAATTATTGAGTTTGATTGAAGATCGCTGCAGGATGCTCTCGCTCTACTTTT